CATTACATCTCTTTTTTTTTTTTTGAATTAGACATATAAGCTGCCAGTTTTTTATTATTATTATTTTGATTTTATAGAATTTTATTTTTTTTTAAAAATGATAAGACATAGATATTTTGCATAAAAAGATTTGCTAAAATTATTTTACAATAAGTTAATTAACTAATAAATTTTTTTAATAAATCTTAGTAAGTAAATCAATTAATTTAATAAGGTTAAATTTATATATTTTTTTTTATTTATGCTTTTTAACTAAATGAGAATCATTGTGTCAAATTAATTTAGAATTAGGTAAAATATTATCTTATAATTTAAATATAATTAATCTAAATTTAGTTTAAAATTAAGACTTAATTCAATTACTTCATATAAAATAATTCTAAGTATAAAATTAATTTATTTGAACTTAATTCATTAACAGGTTTATGGGAAAAGTATTAATTCCTTAATGGATAATAAGATACATAGTCATATATCTATTTCTTTCTAACGTGATAAAATATAATTTGGATTGTATTTTTTATAATTTTTTATTAAAAAAATCTCATTATTTGGGATTACATAAAAAAATAATATTTTGTGAATAATTTAATAACTAATATTAATTTTTTCTCTCGTTAAAAAATTTTTCTGACTCCGACCCTGAATCAAGCCCTCATCCATCACCTCATCACATCTCCATGATCATGCCACCTTATCAGGGATATCTTGTATATCAGCTCTTCTCCAAATTTACAAATAATAAATTAATAATAATAATGGTGTAATCTAATAAATGAAAAATATATAAATATAATTAATTTACATTAAATTATTTAAAAAATAAACGGCCAAAAAATCGCTCTCTTTCTCCGCATCACCGTCATTTCTTCCCGAATACTCTTTATTTAATAATCACATTTTCTCAATAAATACAAAATAAACAAAATTAGCGTCAATCCCCGCATTTCATTTCCAATTAATTTCGCACCGAAATTTCATTTCCCAAATCCAAACCTCACCTTAGTTCCCTAACAGCACCACTTCCCCTTTTATTTATAGTCCCACATCTGCCCACCTCTTCAAAGCTGCCACTTTCCCTCTCCCCTTCCGCCCATGAATTCTTCTTCTAAATCATAGAAAGGCCATTTTAATATCCAAAACAGCAGAAAGAGCTCGCTAATGGAAACTCAGGCGACGGGGAAAACGAAGGAGAATAAACAGGCTTCGAAGAAGAAGAAACCCCCCTCCTTTCAGCACCAAATCAATCATTAGTTTTATCCCAATCCCAAACTCTCCACCATTTTTCGAATGAGGCACCCAGCTTTCTTCCCTTGCGGTCAGTACCTTAAAAATCCCGTTTTTCATCATCTGCTCGTATTTAATTCAATCAATTAAACTAGAATTGCTACTTTTCGACAATTTGCAGAGGAAAAATCAGCAGACATGATCTTCGAAGACGACGACGACGACGTAATTTGCTGCGGCGGCGCCGCCAACGCCGCAGGGGCAAAGAAGAGGCGATTGGGAACTGAGCAAGTGCGCGCTCTGGAACAGAGCTTCGATGTGGAAAACCGGCTCGAGCCGGAGCGGAAGGCTCGCTTAGCACAGGATCTGGGCCTCCAGCCTCGCCAAGTCGCCGTCTGGTTCCAGAACAGGCGCGCGAGGTGGAAGACGAAGCAGCTCGAACGCGACTTCTCCGCTCTCAAGTCGCGCTACGACGCCCTGAGGCTCGACTTCGACTCACTCCGTCGCGACAACCACTCCCTCGTCGCACAGCTCGCTGCGTTGAAGTCGAAGCTCGCCGGCGAAGGCGAGATCAGGCAGGGAGAAGAGAAGCCGCAGCCAGCGATTGGCGTCGACGGAGCCTGCGAGAGTGATTCGAGCGCTGTGCTGACTCAGGATGTGTTTAAGGTGGAGGAGGATTGGGAGGAGACTTGCGGCGCTGGGTTCTTCGCCGACGTGCATGGGCCGACTATGGCTTGGTTCTCTGCTGACCTCGCCGTCGACGGCGGCGGCGGCGGCTGGTAATAATGGGGGATTTACGGCGATGGTGAGAGTGATAAAGGCGATGATTTCGCCAACGAGAGTGGGGAATCGAGGCGGGTTGCTTTCTTTTCTTTCTCTTGAAGAAGAATTTTTGTAAAATGCAAAGTGTATTTAGATTTTAGTTTTCTTACTCAAGTTCATGTCTTGCCACTTCCTCTGTAAAAAAGCTGGCTCCTTTGACGACTGCGAATAAGTGCTGCAGATGGAGACGGATATGGAACTAGAATCAATTTTCTTCTTGCCTCATATGGGAGGATAAGAGCCAAACTGATTGTGATTATTCCTTTTTCATAAAAGATAAATTTTTAAATTTACTATTGAAAATTTTGCTTTCCAATAAAGCTTTAAAACCACTTTAAAAATTCCCTTTTGAAAGCATATTTTTTTAAAAAGTAGTTTATTTTTAACCTAATTTTTGTATTCAATGTTTTCCATTGAGTCACACATCAAGATCTTCATATTGATTTTAGAACGGCCAAAATTTTTTTAATTGATTGAGAATTGAAGATGATCTAATTGCAAAATTTAATTAGGTCTGTTAGTTGAGAATTTTGACTATTAATCAAGAGTTCTTGGATTTGAGTTTTATGCATGTGATGTGTATGAGTTTATCATAATTAAATTAACTGTCTGAAAAAAAATTCTAATCGATATCTTACAGAAAGAGAATATGCATAAAATTAGTGTCACATGAATTATAGAGAAATTTTTTGTAAAAAAGATCAAATGGACAAATACTTTACTAAAAAGTATATAATTAGAGGATGGATTTGCATGTTTGGGTAAGATTAGTGAGACAATTTTTTAAAAGAAGTTTAATAACAAAAATATTAAGCAAAAAAAGCTTGAATATAAATACATTTAATAAGGAGCAAAAATACTAAATTATTTTACGTTTTCATAAAAAACGCTAAATAATTTATCATTTTCTCAAGAAACGTTAAGCAATTTAGTATTTTACTTAGAAAATATAATTTGACTTATACTATTTAAATAAACATTTCAAAATAATAATAATAATATGATTTTAGGTAGGGAAGTGGTAAGTGTTAGCACACCAGCATAATAATAATAATAATATGCTTTTAGGTAGGGAAGTGGTAAGTGTTAGCACACCAGCACACTAAGCCACAAGTCAAGAGCAAATTAAAATGTCATGGATATCATACACCTATTAGAGGATCAACTTCACCATGCCTGCTATAGCAGATTGCCATCAGTCATACCACACACACTCTAACCAACCATCCTCTTTTTTTTTTTAGGAATGCCTAAGTAGCAAAATTTAATGAAAACACCAAATAAGCCTAGATTCAAGCTAATGAGAGATTACCAACTGTCCTCTACACATCTATATATACACATTTTATATACCTAGAATATACAATATATGATGCTACAATAAATAATACAAAAGAATTTTCTCTACTAGCTTCCTCTTCTTCCCTGCTATTTTATTATGTTTGCAGGTTTTTTCATGGTATCAGAGCATCCAGATTAACCACACTCTGCTTCTCGTCCAATGGATTATCAAGAGCCAGCTTCATCCCTTCCGCCCAACTCCGATCTCTCTGCTTCCATGGACGAGTTCATTGTACCACTCTCCCTCAAGTTCCTCATGTCTAACCTCAAGCACATTATCACTATACATCTCACCAATGACAACTATGTCATCTGATGCCTTCAAATCTATCAACATTTTTCAGCCAACGACTATGAGGGCTACCTCATAGGTGCACAAACTTGTCCACCTAAACCTTCCCCTGCCTCCCCCAACATCGATTATCGACTATGGTGCCTTATCGACCAAAACTTGATATCAGCGCTCTTCTCTACAATCTCCCCATCTATACTGTCATATGTGTTCACTCTTTCCACTACACATGAGATCTGGATCACCCTAGAAAAATAACTTCAACCCACCAATCGCTCTCGCGTATCAAATGCATGACTGTCCCATGACTCAGTATCTTTCTTAGAACAAGACTCTTGTTGACAACATAGCTATGGCAGGCTCGCATATCTACTTTGAGGACATCATTTTATACATTTTAAATTGCCTCCCCTCTACTTACAACTCCTTCAAACATAGCAATCCAAAACTCCTTGAATCCCATCAGTCAAGATGTCCTCTACTTCGTACTATGCATTGAGGAACTTAATCTCCAAAATGAATATATGAAGGAGAAAACTCAATCATCGGATACCACAGCTCTGCACTCCTCTTGCATTGGTCAAGCGCAGAGCCGCTCCACCAACAATAATCAGACTTGCACCTCTTGTGGTCGAGGATCCAACCCACGTCTGTCAACCTACTCAGACCGACCACAATTTTCCTCACCAGCTTATTTTCACTGTCCGACTTACCAAATTTGCGACAAACGGGTCACTCGATGCTCAACTGCTAGCACCATTGCAACCTTCAGTATGCTCCACCTTCTTTGTTGAATCCTCGATCCCTGATCACACAACAACATCCAACTCCCACGACTGAGTGGGTATTCGATTATGGCACCTCAATTAATCTTACATTGGATGCATTCAATCTGTAGTAGCCCATATCACACAACGGCGCCGATTCCATCTCCATAGCCAATGGGAGTACTCTACCCATCCAGTATAGCGGCCAGGGTATCCTCCCTCTACCGATTCAACTCATAAGTTTATCCTTCAAAATCTTCTCCATGTTTCATCTCTCTCACACAATCTCCTCTCTATATCTAAACTAATTGCTGACAATAATGTCTCTATCCCCTTTGATGCCCATGATTTTTTCATTAAGGATTTATAGGACAATCAAACTCTACTACGTGGTTACAGTGTTGATGGCCTCTACCTAGTTCGAACCAATCTAGTCATCATCTCCACGGCGCTTCACACTAGTTGTTTTGTCCTATCTCTAGCATGAGTGGCTAGGCCATCCACATTAACGCCTTTTTAACTACATTAGCTAAACATATACTATCTCTATGAAACTCTTCTTCTTCATTTGTATGCATCTCATGTAATGTGGCTAAAAGCCACAATCTATCTTTCAATACAAGCCTTACTTCTTATACTACATCGTTTCAACTTATTCACTCAAACACCTAGGTCCAACATTGTTTCCCTCTCCTAATGGCCACAAAAACTACGTCATCTTCATAGATGACTTCACCTGATTTTGTTGTTTATATTTAGTGAGCTCTAAACAAGAAACATTTTACAAGTTTCAACAAGTTTACTCTCAAATTAAAAACACTTCCAATTCAACCATCAAAGCTCTCAGATTAGATGAGGGCGACGAATTCACCAGCAATATTTTCAGAACCTACCTGTTTAACCAAGAAATCACTCACCAACTTAGTTGTTAATATCAAAAGTCGATCACCTGCTTCTATACATTTCTCGGGAACAACCTCATTTCATTGTGTGTCAAAAAGCAGGTCACAGTAGCCAAATCCTCAACTGAAGCCGATCACCGATCCCTCTCATCTGCCACTTCTGACATTCTATGGCTCTGTTGTCTTGTGGTTAAATTTCAGCTACCTCAAAACTCATCGCCCATTATATACTATGACAACACCTCACTTATAGCGCTTGCTATCTTCCTCTTCTTCTCTGTTGTTTTACTTTGTTGGCAAGTTTTCTAAGTAAGCATAGTAATAATTAAATGAGGAACTTGGTTCGAATATTTGCAAAACAAAATAGCCTTTGATTATAGATCAAGATGAGCTACGTAAAAGGGCCCCAATGAATTGAACAAAAAGCAAATTGGATTTTATTTTCTTAAAAATTTTTCTTCGATTTATTACATTATCATTATTAGTATTATATATATTTTTTTTAATTACTATGAATTAGTATGATCAAAACATTAATTGTTGGTTGTAACGGCCAAGAAGTTATTACTTCAAGTAGACAATTGAAACCCAATAGCCGTGTTAGATCTTAGAAGAAGCCTATAAGCTTTTGAGAGGGGCAAATTTAGAGGTCATTTGATCATCTAATTAATGTCTGAATTTTTCATTTAGTCTTCAAATATTTGATTTGATCTCATTTAAATTTTATCTTGATATTCATACCAATCATTCTAATTTTTATAGTTATATTAGATATAATACACACCAAACTCATCATTGACAACCAATGTTTAGTCATGCTCGACCCATGACACACCTCATGTAGTCTAATATGTAGTATTAAGTTTTCATTACTGAAATAAAGTGTAGAAATATTCATTTTATTTTTTTTTGTGTGATAATTAATTGATGATACATTATTTAACTAATATATTATTATTAGTAGTAATAGTAGTACTAGGATGTATAGATGCTGTGATTTTAACTATGGGTGGTATTTATGTAATATTAAAATTTTAGATGTTAAATATGTAAATAGAATAGTATTAAGTGGTATGTATGTAAATCTCTCTAAATTCTTTTATTTGAGAATAGTCAGACAACCCACTTAAGGATATTCGAATGTCAAAATATTTTTTTTTTTCTTTTTTGGTGTGTTGTGATTAAAAAAAAAAGGATTTATCTTTATCTTGGACCAGTAATTTGTCGAGATTTGCAAAGAAGTCCAGTCTATACACTGAATGTTGAAGTAAGAAAAGTATGCTTTATCTTTTTTTTTTTTTTGCTCCTATCGTTTTCTATTTTATTTCATGAATGACTTATATATATAATATTTTATTTCTTTTTATAAGTTCATTTAAATATCCAAAAAAAATAAAAATATCAATTCAAGCTAAGTAAATCGGTCTCAACCCAAAAGAGACTCGCGGGGCTATAAGAGAACACCTTAAGCAGATTTAAGAACTCTGCACTCTCAGCAAGCATGGCTTATTAGTAGGCAAGAACTATTATTTAAGAAGTCAGCTCAGACGACTAGTTAAGGATGGATGACTTGCAAGTTGCAAGGTAAGGTATTCATATGTCATCCAAAAATTATGTTGATCGGGCGCAAATCTTGATGCAAATATGAATAAAAAACTTTCAAAACTAAGTTCGGGATCATTCCGACTCCGATTTCAGCAAGCATAAGTCGAATTGAATATCTCAAAAAGACGAACCCAATGGCGTTGAAATAGGTCAAATCCGAACCCAAATGGGTCCAAATCAAGGGTTTGAAGCCTATTTTAAAGTTTCATAACATTAATTGGAAGATCAAATGATATTCAAATATGATATGCTTATAGTTGAATCGAGCAGCTCGACAAGACAATCCAAATAGCCTAAGATCGCCGAATTCTAACATCATTAAGACACTCAA